GTTAATTGCATGCCTAGCCAGTGTTTTTGTGTTTATTTATATGTGCTGTTTTTACTAGGCAATCTGCTACATTTTATTCCCTGAATAAAATCTAGCAGATCACTGCTGTCAGAACACAGCTCTGCCTTATATACATATGCAGAGCTGTGTTCTGTCAGTCTCTTCGGTGATCAATGGGTGCTGGCACTCATCCCTTGGCTGGCACCTGTTGATTGGCTTCTGCTCTGTCCAATCACAGCAGAAGTGGCGCTCTTGCAGCACGCCCTTGCCCCCTTCCAAATGGCGGAAGTGCAAAATTACCTTTTTTTATGTGATTTTGCACAGAACATCCGCCCTAGAGCAGTAAATCTGCTATAGGGCAGACTTAAAGTGGTTAACCCCTTCCCTGCCAGTATCATTAATACAATGACAGTGTATATTTTTTAGCACTGATCGCTGTATTAGTGTCACTGGTTCCCACAAAGTGCCAGTTAGTGTCACACTGTCAGTTGCAATATCACAGTCCTGCTATAAGTCACTAATCGCCACCATTACTAGAATTAAAAAAAATTCCAGTATATATACCGCCCTTTGTAGACACTATAACTTTTGCGCAAACCAATCAATATATGCTTATTGTGATTTTTTTTTTACCACAAATATATAGCAGAATACATTTTCGCCTAAATTTATGAAGAAATTAGATTTTTAATTTTTTTTTATTGGATATGTTTTATAGCAGAAAGTAAAATATATTGTTTGTTTTTTTCTTTAAATATCTGTGTTTTTTTTTATTTATAGCGCAAAAAAAAATAAAAAACACAGAGGTGATCAAATACCTCCAAAAGAAAGTTCTATTTGGAAAAAAATGACTTAAGTTTTATTTATGTACAGTGTTGCATGAACGCGCAATTGTCAGTTAAAGTAATGCAGTGCCATATCACAAAAAATGGCCTAGTCATGGGGGGGGGGGGGTAAAACTACTGGAGCTCAAGTGGTTAACTTAGTATAGAAACAAAATAATATATTTCAAAAGGGATCATGCCGAGCAAAGTACAAGCTATGCTATGCTACATGCACAATACTTGTATTTTGTACTTACTTTACCCTTTGTTACTCTGTCAGCCCGATCTGCTAACACAGCCTTGAAAGATTTCATGTACTACAGATTATGGGAAAACATATAACATGCCCCTTGCCCACTATTCTGCTCCTGGTGCTTGAACAGATTGTTGGCCACCTGAAGAGCTGTCACAGTGTGGTTAGGAGGTTCATAGTCATGTGTAAGGTTTGCCTTTATATGGTTGGTAGAGGAGCGTGGAAGGGTAATTACTTAATGTGACTACGATTAAGTGAGACAGTTACTTTGCCTACTATGAGCAAAATACAGAATTAATTTAAAACGTACACCACCTTATACAATAAACAGTGTAAACATGAAGACTTGTGAAGAGAAGGGGTTAAAAAGAAATCATTTTTGAGCTTTATTTTACTTAAAGTGGTTCTTAAGGCTGAAGGTTTGATACCTTCGTGAATTCTATGCAAGACGGTAAAAAATCTTCAGTGTGCTGCTCCCTCCTAAGCCCCTCCTTATACTTACCTGAGCCTGATCTCGATTCAACATGTGCAAAAGAGCAGTGGTTCTCCTGGGTCTCTCCCTCCCCATTGGCTGAGACACAGTGAGGGCTGAATCCAAAGATCAGAGGTATACCACTCAGGCAAACAATCCAGATCAATCCACAACAGGTGCAGGCTGTAGCTCGCCACCACCCACCATTCAACAGGAAGAAGGTTTATAACGATTGGTTATGATTAAGCACCATTACACAGAGTAGGCAAATATGACATGTTTGTTATTAAAAAATAAAGTTAACCTTTAGTATCACTTTAAATGTACTTGCTCTCCTGAGGATTTACCTCCCTTCCTGACCAAGCCATTTTTTGCATTAAGGCGCTGCGTTACTTTAACTGTGCGGTCATGCAATGCTGTACCCAAATGAAATTTACATCCTTTTTTCCCACTAATAGAGCTTTCTTTTGGTGGTATTTGATTGCCTGTGCGTTTTTTATTTTTTGCACTGTAAAAAAGAGTCCGACATTTTTGAGAAAAAAAACATTATTTTTAACTTTTTGCTATTAAACATGTCCACTAAAAAATTTTAAAATCAAATTTCATCATAAATTTACGCCAAAATGTATTCTGCTACATGTCTGCTAGAAAAAAATCCCAATACATGTAAATTAAATGGTTTACGTTAAAGTTTTAGTGTTTACAAATGGCAGTATAGATACTGGGATTTTTTTATTTATTTATTTTTTTTTTTTACTAGTAATGGTGGTGATCAGTGACTTATAGTGGGACTGCAGGACTGCGGCGGGCATTCTGTCACTGGGGGGAACTGACTTGGTGTCACAATGACACCAATACAGTGATCAGTACTAAAAAAAAAGCACTGACACTGTAATAATGGCACTGGGCAGGGGTTAACATGAGGGGCAATCAAAGGGTTAACTGTGTGTGGGGAGTGTTTTACTAGCGGGCTGTGTCCGTGTGCACAGCCATCCAAAGCAGTGTGTCCTGAGCTGACAGGGAGGAGAACTGTTAGTAAACAAAACAGTTCTCCTCCCTGATGGAAATCATTGGAAATCCAAAGGACACCGGCGAATAATCACCGGCCGGGACTCAGTGATTGACAGCTGCGGCCATGAATGGCAGCTCGGGTAGGGTGCACGGCTCTCGAGTGTCCCCTACCTGGAAATGCAAAATCACACATATATATATGTATATATATATATATATATATATATATATTTGTGTGTGTGTGTGATTTTGTGCACCCGTGCCACCCTGTAGCAGTATTTCTACTATAGGGTGGTCGGGAAACAGAGGTTTCCTCTTTTTCTGGACTTCCCATTATAGCACAGTGGCTTAGAGGTTAGCACATCTGCCTGGCAGCGCTACAGTCAAAGGTTTAAATCCCAGGTACAACAATATTTGCCTGGAGTTTACATGTTCTGCCTGTGTGGGTTTTCTCTCACCCTCCAAAGACAAGCTGGTAGCTTAATTGGCCTTAGTATGTGTTTAAATGGGGGTTAGGGACCTTGGATTGTAAGCTCCTGGAGGGCAGGGACTGATGTAAATGTACAGTGTATATATATATATATATATATATATATATATATATATACGGTATATATATATGTGTGGGTGTGTGTGTGTAAATTGATGGCCCTATAAGTATCTCAAATAATTAGTTATAGAGATTCCATTTAGCTGACATACAAAGTGCTAACAGAAGCCATTAAATAGTTAGGGCAATGGGACACATTAAACTTCATTATATACTTTCTAGTTCTTTGGTTTCAAAAATGTTAGGTGTTCATGGTGCTAGTAGACAGGAGTTGTGTGCTTCCAGAGGAGTGCCAGTTTCTTTTTGGACAGTGGCTTTGAGTGAAAAAAGAAACTGAAAAAAAAAGTGAAAGCCAAAAAAATCTGAAAAAAATTCTACACTAGGTATTAAAAAGAAGTTGATAAGAATGAAAAACAGAAGAATCAGGGAAAGATGGCAGTATGTGACTTAAAAGAACAGCTGAAGGTATCATTTGAGTGAGATTTTTTCCACTACGTGTGAAGTGCAACTGCCACTCTACAAAGCCTCATACATGAATTCCCTCAAGTACAATAGACTGTGCCCAGGAACCTCAGCACATTGTATTATAGTTACAGTGCAATTAATAACTTTAGTGTTATCAGACCTTCCAAAGTGACCTATTCCAGTAAGCACAAAACACTTTGCTGCTGATCTTCTCTTTTTTTCTTGTTACAATAGCCTGAGCTTAGTCAGTGAACTCTTGTGAAGGGTTTTCTTGTATATTAGGTGAGTGTAATTAGAAAGGCCGCAAGATGAGCAGGAGTACAGTGCTTTGTACCTACAGGAGCGGGTCATCTTGGAGAGTGTTACCTGTAGCTATTGAATTACATTTTTGTTTCTACTTAGCAAAATACTTTATAAACCTTATCCAAAGGGGAAGATTTAATAAACCTGGACAGTTCCTTGGGTATCCCATACATCCCTTACCCCATCCAAGTTCAATACTCCTTATTAAAACATAAAAACAAGCTCAAAGACTGCAAGATCTGAAGAAAATGTGTTTTGCCTGACTGTGCAGGACTACAGAGGGACCCAAAATTTAGCGACTCCTAAGGATGTAGTGCTACATCAGCACATTGTGAAGTTGATTTACTAAAACTGGAGAGTGCAAAATCTGGTGCAGTTGTTCATGGTAGCCAATCAGCTTCTAACTTCACCTTGTTCAATTAAACTTTGACAAAAAAAATGGAAGCTGATTGGTTTCTATGCAGAGCTGCACCAAATTTCACACTCAGCATTATTAGTAAATCAACCCCAAAGTGTCATGGATCGGGCTGGATTCTATCCTATGTATTTTTCTGAGCATTTCCATTGTTGTGCTTTTAGGTCTGTCTGCATCTTCTGCTGCCAAGGTACTAGTTACCTATTATTCTACCCTAGGAACACCTACATTATTAGCCCATTTTGATCAAGCTCTGCCTACTGTGTATGAGGTTATTCCATTGCAAAATATTGATGGAATGTGCAGTTGGGGGTAACATGTGGTCTGCATTATATAAATGCCCGCTTTTTAATTTTACAGACCTACAAAAAAAAAAACAGAAAGATGGCTTCATGTTTGGACATCCAAAGGTCATCCTGACTACTGCACCTACCTTCCCCATATAGTTCTCCTACTGAAGCTACAAATGTCCAGAGGTGTCCAGAAGAGGCATACTCAATAAGGAAAATGTTAATACAGTTCGTAAAATTTACTGCTGCCCCCTCTATCCCTGGTGACCTGGACTCTGGTCCACAAGTACTGTTATGGTAAATATGGTATGACCCTGCTTTCTGATATTTTCCCTGTTTAAAGTAGTCCTGTATCTTGCTTGAGTCTGATCTCCACACCATTACCTTTTCTCAGCAATCCCAAAATCCTTAAATATTTAACCTCCCTGGCGGTATTCCCGAGTGTAGCTCGGGGTAAAGTTTCAGCACCACAAGCGGTAACCCCGAGCTACACTTGGGAGTACCTTGCAGCGCTGCTCCGGGATCTCTTCTTCTCTTACCTTGTCCTGCGCTCCCGCAATGTCCCTCCTGCAGTGTCCCCTGTAATGTCCTCCGGTGGATGCCGGCATCTGTCTTCTGGGTTCCGTCCCCTGCGACGTCAGGGCATACGGGGACGGAACTGGTGGGAAATTTGAATACGACAAAAAGTGACATTCACTAAATTCACTAAAATCACATAGTAAAACATTACTGTATCAAACCATTTCACATACATTTTGTCCCTAGTGCTTTGTCCTGTGCCCTGCCTGCATTTTTACTGTTCTTTCTGCCTGGAAACTGAGAAACGTACATAGCGTCCAAAAAGCGTTCCTTCAGGCCAAAAGCGGTTTTTAGACCAGCTAGAGAACAGCGATAGTAAATTAGAACTACTTGCAGAATTTAGTGATAATGATTTGTGGGGAAAATCGTCATCAGACACTGAAAACGATTTTGCGACTTTGCTAAGTGATGCGCGAACTTGGCGCTATATTTCAAATTTCAGTGTTTTTGGTTTGATTATATTATTGAATTAAATTTATTATTATTATTATTATATTATTATTTTTTATGATTATTTATTAAATTATAATTTATGATTTCGTGTTTCAAATTTTAACATAACCGGGATGTTTACTAGACTCTTGTTTGGACAGATTTCAGTGAGTTATTCCTAAAAATTACAGGCCTACAATAAAAAAAATACATATTTCCATGCAAAAAAATGTAGTGCTTTGAGCACAGAAATATGGACATAATCAGACCGCTAGGGAGGTTAAAGAGGATATTCAGTCCACCCAAAGAAAATTAATAAAAGGACACTTACCTGTCCAAGGATCCACCACCGTCCTTACCTGGATGCAGTTCTTCACCATTCTTCAGGTCCCAGCATTTTTAGTGTGGGAAGCCAGTTGCGACTCCTTGTGGCTTCACAGCTGGCTTCCCACTGTGCATGCACAGCTGCACTGCACTTTGTGAATGGTCCTTCAGCCTTCTGGCACCAGTGACAAGTCCCAGAGGGATGGGGGCAAAGGGGGGACAGACTTCTGGCTTCCCAGGTGATCTAAGCAGAAGTGGGACCAGGTACCTGTCAAAACAAGGTATCTTTTCCCCTTAAAAGTGTCCAAAAGGCATAGAGGAGGGGGGAGGCGGCAGAAAAGCAAAACTTCACCTTTTGGGTAAGGTTCAGCTGTAACAAAACCTGTCATGAAATGTATGTCTGCCATTGTACACCTCCTTCTGAAAATAGTAGTTGATCCTCTGACTTCTGAGCCACTGCCCTGCATGCTTGCTTGGGCCACTGCTGAAGCCAGGAATCAGCATGAAAGGTATGCAACTAGTTTGTTTTTCCAGTCTTCACTTTCAGTGTGATTTATTAATTTTTATTTGTCTGTAGATATTTTGGTAAAAAAAATAGAATGACAGGTCACAGCTTTTTCCGGCATCACTGCATAACTCTATGTTTACACCCTGCTTTGCTGTGAACAAGCTGTTCCCATATACTCCTAGAGCAGTGGTAGACAACCTCAGCATACCAGCTGTTGTGAAACTACAAGTCTCACTGCAAAAATAGCCACAGACATGACTCCCAGAGGCAGGGGCATGATTTTTTAGTTTGACCACAGCTGTAGTGCCAAGGTTGCCTATCCCTGCCCTAGAGGGTACTGTTTGGAGAGGGAAAAATCTGCACTCCATTGAGCTGAAAGTGTAGCTTCCTCCCCAAAGCAATTCATTAAGAGCAACGCAGTATGTAAGATGCTAGGAGACAAGAGACTATGCTGCAATCAACAATGCTTACCTTCATAACCAATTATGATGGATTGTTTTTATAGGCTATTGGGCAAGAACCAATGCACACTCACCAGCCACTTTATTAGGTGCACCTGTTCAATTGCTTGATAACACAAATTACTAATCAGCCAATCACATGGCAGCAACTCGATGCTTTTAGACATCTAGACGAGGTGAAGATGACTTACTGAAGTTCAAAACAAGCATCAGAATGGGGAAGAAAGGGGATTTAAGTGACTTTGAATGTGGCATGGTTGTTGGTGCCAGACGGTCTGGTCTGAGTATCTCAAAAACTGCTGATCTACTGTGATATTCACACACAACCATCTCTAGGATTTACAGAGAATGCTCAGAAAATATCCAGTGAGTGGCGGTTGTGTGGATGAAAATGCCTTGTTGATGTCAGAGGTAAATGGGCAGACTGGTTCGAGATGATAGAAAGGCAACAGTAACTCACGTCAATATGGACGCTAAGGAATGTTTCCAACACCTTGTTGAATCTATCCCACAAAGAATTAAGGCAGTTCTGAAGGAAAAAGGTCCAATCCGGTACTAGCAAGGGGTACCTAATAAAGTGGCCAGTGAGTGTATAGGTTCATAGTGAAATTGTTTTTTAATGCTAAGGTTACCTCTCCACTGGTTTCTGGTGCATTGTGTCAATAGTGAGTACTCAGTGTTTGAACTTAGTTTACTGCCAAGCACTGTGTGCTCCTAATTTTATTTCCCAATACTCCCATTAATTTAACTTTCTGTTCCTGTATTAGCTTAGCCCCTCTGATCCTACTTCCTGGCCTGCATTTGACTTCAGTTTTTGGCATTCTTACCTGTGCATAAAAAATGCATCTTGTTCCCCACCATCTTAGTAGCAACTTGGTTTGCCCCTCGCTTCTGATTTGTTTGCTGATTGCCTTGTCCTTTTTCCTGCCTATCAACTTTAATTGCACTCAGCCTACCCTTACTTATTTGTCTATGTATTACTCTTCTCCTTTTCCTTTTTGCTTGGACCCTTGAACTCTGAGAGTTGAACTTGTTCCAAAGCGAACATCACACTATGCTACTGTTTTGATGCCAACATTCTTGGTTGTGTGCAGCCAAGGGTGTAGGAAGTCCTGCCCAACACTCCTGTGCCCTGCACACTTTAGCATATTTTGTGAGGTTCACTGTCCACAATGACAGCCACAACTCTGCAGCTATGATCTGTTAACGCACATACACAAATGCATGAGTCATAGGCAGGACTGCTTGAACAAATATTGCTGTTGGAAAGAAGAGCCTGTGTGAAGAATGTGAACATTTAACAGTTGAACCTTCAATACATCCCCAACATTTATAATAGTTGAATCCTATGACATCACTGTCTCTTTTTTTTTTCTGCAGTCAAACACCCATGAAATTAGAAATATTAATAGTAATATTAAAAAGAATAAAAATAAATAAATTATTGAATTGAATTGATATTACATTGTAAATCGATTTTTATCCTCCACATATTAGCTAGATCTATCAGATGAGGTGACCATCCGATAGGTATGATTTACTAAAACACGAAAGTGCAAAATCTGGTGCAGCTCCGCATAGAAACCAATAAGCTTCCAGTTTGTTTTTGTTTCGGCAAAGTTTAAAGTGGTTGTAAAGGCTCAAGGTTTTTTACGTTCATGAATTCTATGCATGAAGATAAAAAACCTTCTGTGTGCAGCAGCCCTTTCAGCCCCCTAATACTTACCTGAGCCCCATCGTGATCCAGCGATGTGCACGAGAACCTTAGCTCTACCTGGACTCTCCTTCCTCATTGGCTGAGACAGCAGTGATAGCCAATGGCTTGCCAATGCAGTGAGCCAATGAGGAGAAAGCAGGGGCAGGGCCAAGTCCCCCTCTGTGTGTGAATGGATACACAGAGCAGTGGCTTCGGACTGAGCCTGCTACGGTGCTCCCATAGCAAGCTGCCTGCTTTGGGGGCACTAGGCCTGGAGTGCTGGCGGGGAACCCGAAAATAGGAGGATTGGGGCTGTTCTGTGCAAAACCACTGCACACAGCAGGTAAGTATAACATGTTTGTTCTTTTTGTACAAAAAATATGCCTTTAATATCACTTTAATCAAACAAGCTGATGCTAAAAGCTGACTGGCGACCATGCACAGCTGCAACAGATTTTTCGCTCTCCAGTTTTAGTAAATTAACCCCATTATGTTTTATTCTTCTATAATTGAACCTGTTACCTTCATCAACTATCTATTAGAGAAACATGTCAAAGTTAAAGCAGTATTAAAGCCAAAAACAAAAAATGTATAAGATTGCAGCTCATCAATTTTTAGATGTAGTGGCTGCAGTGGTTTTCTTTTTAGGCTTTTTTTTCTTTTATTTCACCTGGTGATTCTGGCAGTAATACATGTCTTAGGGTGGCTGCGTTCTGGATAACGTAATAAAGTAGATAACTTTGGACAGCACCATTATCAGTCTGGGATAGTGTTAGATATACTAACAGATTTAGATGGACTTGACCAACAAATTGAAGTTGAACTCCAGCAAACACTTTTTAACCAGTTACAGCAACAGGTTTTTATTCCTTTTGGGATAAAGGTTTTACATACATTGAAAAAGTTGAACATTGTAAGCACCCATCAGTGTTATAAATAGTTTCTCTCAACTCTCTAACTGCTAAAGGAAATTGAAAATAACAGGCTTACTGACTGAATCACCTGGTGAAAATAAAGGAAAAAAGCTTAAACAATGAAAACTAATGCAACCACCATATCTAAGAATTGGTAAGCTGTAATCAAATACATTTTTTTTTGCATTTGATACTTTAATTTTGTTTTGTTTTTTGTTTAACTAACAGGTTCTTACCCCTTATGCATACCCATATAAAGAGGTTAAAGCACAACCTTAGCCCAAACTTTGTTTTCCTTAGTTTTTGACAGACCTGGGATGAGTAAATACCACTGTAAATTTTTATTGCTGTCCATGACTCCATTGGAAAGATTCCAACTCACCTTCTATGTCTGTGACAACAAGACAAAAATGAGAGGATTGGTTGTCACTGGGACAGGAAGTAGAAACATAACTTGTCAGAAGATTTAATCCTTCCCCCTTTTTCTGATAAAATGAGTTTTGTTGCAGTTTACAAAATAAATTAATGTAACAGGCTTTTGTTCATAGGGCGTTGAAGGCCCTTCAGCAAGTTTAGACTTCTAACTAGAAAAGTCTTCAGTAGCTGGATTGGCCATTTGTGGATGACATCAGACTTCCACAATGCTCAGTGTAGCACTCTTCTAGTTAGCTAGGGGGAGCTAGCTGATTATTTTTTAGTTAAAAGGGCTGAGTAGCAGTGTAGGCAATAGTCAGCTGGGTCAAATTCAGGTCAGGTCTGAGAGGCTCTGCAGATCAGTTCCTTGATACCTCCCCCTGTTCTAGAATCTTGCAGAAGATTCTAGGAGCAGTGGACGGGGGT